GCAATGGGACGACAATAGTTTTCTCTTTTTCCCTAACTTACTGGTAATTTTTCAATTTGTCGGGAAGCCAGAAAGTGAATTTCTTTGGAGGAAATGGAACGTTATATAAATATTTTCTCAGAAGGGTGATGCCCAGACAATATGAATTAAAAGTGGTGAAATGGTGTAACCTTTTATGACATCTAATTTTGGTTATGTTTTAGTGTATTGATTGATGAAATCCGACTTCCTTTTTGCTTGGTGTAGACCAATGTTATGGCTCCTGAACAAAAAGCCTAGAACTGAGCAAGCATGATAAGAGTAATGAGCACTAAATACACATTCCTTTCCAAACTGGAAAGGACACATTCCTTTTTTTTCTCCCAACTTGGCCAGCTAAGCTCAGACTCTACTTGTGAATAAGTCAGAATAAAATCATAAACTTCAAGTATGCAATGTTGAAAATGAATGGACAGAGTTGAATTTTCACTTAGAATGGATTCTGTGGGAAGTCAGTACTGATGCTAAGCACAGAAACGCCTCGTCTCTCCCTATCCCCCTGCTCCCCCTGCCCCACTGTGGATTTTCTCACTGCCCTTCCTCTCCTCTTGGCAGTAACGTGCTGCAGTCGGCCAGACAGAGGAACTGTCAGAACAGTGCTTTGGGGCACTGGTGGGGCATGACATGGTCACACTTCATTTCTTTTATTTTTGATTTTTGCTATACGGTATATGTGCTGGCTGGAGACAGAGAGGAAAAGTGAGAAATCATTCCCCGGGCGGGGGTGGCCATGCAATTCCTTTTTCTCCATTCTCTTCTTGGGATTTAGGGTATGCACGCACACACATGTGATTTTCAAGTCATTGGGTTTGGGACTCGAACTGTAGTCAGCCGTGTGGGAGTCCAGTGTCTTAACCATCATGCCACCTGCTGGTTCACTCCCCCCTTTCTAATGTCATGATTTTCACAAAGAATCTGGGTCTTTGTTCTTCAGGAACTAATTCTCAGTACGATAGGAGTGAACTGTCTAATGTTTTGTTTTTGTTGGTCTTCAAACCTGGAGGCAGCCCAGCCACAAATGGGGAAGAAACACTGCTTTTATTCCACTTGGTTACATGGGTACTTAGATGACAGCCTGGCATGATGGGAGGGCCCTCAGGGTTCTTTGGGAAGATGGAGCCCCTGAGCTAATGCTAGTACTTTTAGCCCTATGAGACTGGATCCTTACCTTCAGGTCACCCTGGCCACCAGCCCCTTTGCCTCCCTGTGGAGGACAAGGGGCTGGTGGAGTTTCTCCTCCTCGTGTTCCCTCTGCTCTTGCTCAGTCAAGAACATTCCATAGCTGAACTCCCTGGACCGGAAGCCTCGGTGACACATCTCTCGCTGGCACATCCTTCTCTTCCCTTTGTGTAGTCATTAACCTCTGAGCATTCACCTTGCGACAGAGTGGCCAGGGCAGTGGGCGTCAGCACCAGCTTGCCCCAGGATTGGCTATTCTCTACCCTACTGAGGCCGTGCTATTGATCTGTATCTATATTCTAGGCCCCCTTGTCCCCTTTAAGATGAATGCTCCTATTCATTTTTGTTCATGGGTCTCACATAGGGTTATGCTAGTTCATGAGACATATTTTGGTTTGTCCCTTCATCAGAAGGGGTCAGACTCAAATCCCTTTTCTTTCAGGTGTCCTGCCTTTTTGCAAATTCATGGTTCCAAAATGATTTATGGGGTAAAGGCAACACTATTTTAGCCGCTGCAGTGGGCGAAATGCTGATAGGTATGTTGATCTCCTCCACCAGTGTGTTCATTACTCAAGCCATCCCCTGTGTTAAGAGAGGATAACAAAGGATTTTGGGATGGATCCATATGACGATAACTGAATGTCATATTCATCGTGCCTCTTACGTGCAGGTAACTCTTCCCTCAAGAGTCCTCTGTACTAGATTTAATTTATTTCTCTTTATGCGTTGAAAACTTCTGCAATTGTCTCAATGCTTTTCTAAAAATCAAGTGGTGTGATGCTACAGGGGTTCTCTTCAAAGCACTACCATCACAGTTGGGTTCTCTCTCCTGACTCCAGGGTGATACCTTGTTGTTGAAGTGGCATGTCTTCCTTGAACGTTCACTCACTGTCTCCTTAGGCATGGACTTGCTGCTCTGAGAACATTCAGGTTCTCAGGTCTTAAATGCATCTTCATTTCTGTCCTGTGCTTCTGAAACAGAACTTCGGGCTTTGTCTTTGCAGGGAATCTCACCCCTCTTTGCCTCTGCATACAGAGGGAATATTTGCCAGTGCCTGTTCCTCAGGATTATAAACAACCTGCTGGAAAAATAGAATCATTCCAATACCAGAGAGAAGCTTACCCAGAGAGTTGCCAGGCAGCTCTAGGAAGGAAAACAGTATTTAGCTAGGATAAAATCGTATTAGTGCGTCAGCTCCTTTGATAGTAAAGCATACACTTTCTAAAGTGCTCCTTGGTGGGATTTGTGTTAGGTGCTCAAAGAAAAGCATAAAGACCAGGATAGAGACCAGCCAGTGCTGGACATGGAGACCAGAGGTATTGTCAATAGAGAAACCAGCACTCAGTGCCACGTCGAGTCTCCAAACCCACCACAGTAGCATAGGAGCGTTGGGCTCCGGTGATAGGCAGGGTACCCCTGTATGAAAGACTGTGCCTAAATCCTTTATTTTGTATTTGTGAACAATATCATAGTTACAGTGCTCTTGACATGTAATGAGAGTCTATGGGGAAATCCTTTCATAATAAAAATGTTGATCAAATGCAAACATTCCTAATTTATTAATGGACATTTTATAATCAGTTTTATTGAGGTGTAATTTACACACAATCAAAGGTGCCTGTTTAAAATATTTAATTCAACGTAAAGTGTACGGTAAACTGCATATGGTCAGTTGTGCATGCCCATGAGATCACTGCTCCAAGGAAGACATCGAGTACTACCCTTGAAAGCTTCCTTTTGTGTCTTTGAAGTGCTCTCTCTCTTTTCTGGGTCTCAGGCAACCACTGATCTGCTTTTCTTCACTGCAGACTTACTGTACATTTTTCTAGAATTTTGTACAAATAGTATCATGCAGTAAAAGAGGGTGATGGAGGAGAGGGGATGGTGGCCTGACCCTGCCGCATGGGGAGTGCTTTCTCACGTTTCCTCTCTTTCTGTCTCTTCTGTGAGCACGTGGGCTCTGGCACAAGAAAAAACAATTCACCCCGTAGTTGCATTTATCAGTGCCTCCCCCCCTTTAAAGTAGTGTGCTCTTTTATGGATATACTGCAGTTTGATTCTCCATGCTTGTTGCTAAATATTTGGGTTGTTTCTAGTTCTTAGTTATTATAAATAATGCTGCTATGAACATTCATGTACAAGTGTTTGTGTGGACTTACATTTTCATTTTTTTGGGTGAATAATAAGACTGACTGATTGGACCCTACAGCAGGTATGTTTACCTTTTTAAGAGTCTGCCACCGAATTTTTGTAAGTGGCTGTGTCATTTTGCATTCTTACCAGCGGTATGTCAGAGCTCCAGTTGCTTCACGTTCTCGGCAACTTTTGGCATTGTCAGAATATAGCATATTTTCTTAAAATGTAAATTAGTTGTATATATATATATATATATATATACACACATATATACATATATATAGAGAGAGAGAGAAAGAGAGAGAGAGAGAAGACAGAGGAAATATTTTATGATCAAGGAAAAGAGCTTTTTAAAAATACAGAAATGAGAGATACAATAAAATTTCTCACTTCTAGTAAAAATAAAAAATGCTTACTAATACTTTCTGCAATATAATTGCAATGGTATTTTTGGAGGCACCATAGGAGTGGCCTGTGGCTATGTCAGCCCTGTCATGCATCCTTCTCTAAACCTCAGCATCTATGGGCTGGAAACTGGGGGAAAGGGAAAGGAGTCCTGGGTGAGATCAGAGCCTGGCTTTATGTCCGTTTTTTGCTTCTTCATTTTTGGTTCATGTGCACATGCAGGTGCGTACCCAAGAGAGAGAGAAACAGAGAGGGAGAGAGAAGCACACTTGACAGAGTTTTGTCCTGCAGTGATTTCCTTTCCCCAGCTCTCCAGCTCTTCAGGATCCTGGGCACTTGCACGAGTGTCTGGTGGGTTTCCAAGTTGACTTGAGGATCTGAACCCATGGTTGGCAAGGCTTCCAGCCCTGTCTGGTACTTGCATTACTGCTGAGCCACAGTGGCTGGGCGTTTTGCTGCTTCTTGATCTTAACGTCTCTGTGCCTCAGTTTCCTTATCTGTAATGCAGCTGTGATAACGCTTTTAGCAAAGGGCTACTGTGAGGCTCAGAAGCAGATGATGTGAGAATTGGCTCTTAGCAGAGGCTATTTTCACATTTTCTGACTTGGAAACAATATTCACGAAAGCTGAGTTCTGAATAATCCTTTAATTGGCATATATCTTCAAGAGCATACTGGAAATACGAGTAAAAAAAATTATTCTGGGGGAACTAGCAGGTGGCATGGTGGTTAAGGTGCTGGATACTCCCACATGGCTGAATACGGTTCAAATCCTGGATCTGGTGACTTGCTTTCTCACTTTCCCTCTTTCTCTGTGTCTCTCTCTGGTCAAATTAAAAAATAAATGAATAAATAAACAAAAAACCTAAATAAATAATTCTTAAAATAAATTCTCCTGGATGTCTTTTACTTCTTAGCAACCCTGATAATTATAGACAGGCAGCACTTAAAGGAGAAAGATTGTGGCTCACAAAAGCTTAATTCTTTCCATTCAGTGACCCAAGCTTAGCATATTTTAGTTATCCTAATTTTAGATTTCAAACTCTTTGACCTCACAGAATTGTACCAAACCTGTCCTTTCCTCTTGAGAATTCTTCGCAATATTTCTCCAGCGAATCCCGTACTGTAATGAGATTTGTTACCACAATGCCTGAGGTTTCTATGCCGACGAGTCCTGTTTTCCAAACTAGTTGTTCTCCGGCCGGCAAGTGGGAACTGACTTAAGTTCAGAAACATTTTAAACTTCCTGAAAGATTAAATGGCCACAAGCACTCCCACGGATCCTCTGCAGTATTCTTTGTTAAGGTCAAGGTTTTGTGCTTTCTTTACAAATAGGACCATGTTTCTGTATTTCTTTCAGAAATGTGACATCCGTCAGAAGTTCTGCAGCCGTCAACGGAAAAGGTATGTTTTTCTTTTATTTATTTATTCTTTTTTATTATTTATTATGATTTATGTAGTCAATTGCTATACATCATTTAGATTGTAGAGAGATTTTACCCAACATGATATATGCCACACACCGGGCAAGTTGAGACTGCTACACACATCATTGACAGGCAACAAACCATATTTGTGTCCCACAAATGTCTTACCTCTCCATTTTTTCCCAAATTTCCCTTCCTGCTCTCTTCCCCTCTCCCACTTTCTTTCCCCTTTGTCCCCAGTGTCCATAACAAGTTTCAATGCTTTTATGTCCTCCAGTCTTTCAGTCTCTATCACAGAGTGTAGACAGTATATGTTAAGTGGAGACATACAATGTCTCTCTTTCATAGCCTGACTTGCTTCACTCAGCCACAGATCTTCCATGTTCTTCCACTTTCTATCAAATGCGGGGTCTTCTTGTCTGTTTTTTTATTTTTTTAATTAATTAATTTATTTTTACCATCTCTCCTCTCTAATGTTTTGATCTCCTGCTACTAATTCTTGATGATTCTAGTTTCCAGAACTTTTACCTGTTGTATATGAACATGTATCTTTGATCTGCCTTGGGGATATTTCCTATGGCATTGGACGCTGAAGACTAAAAATAGCAAGATGAAGCAAGAAGCATTTTCCAAAGAACTAAACCAAATAACGTAACCAGATTATTCTTGGTTATCTTGCAGATATCCATGTGACCAGACGTCTACAAATGGTGGTGAGATCATTTCTAGTCGCCTTTTAATCTGTTGGCAGCTGGCTTCTGAAAGCTGCTTGAGAATTTTTTTTTTTTTTTTTTTGCTCTGAGCCAAAGTCAGCCAGCAGTTTTGGAACTTTGCATAATGGATTGTCATTTTGACTTTCACAAGTAACTCTGTACAGTTCATTTTCCTTTCTTTCCTCATTTTAGCCTTTTTTTTAGGGGGGAAGGGAGGGAGGAGGGGTGGCTCTACTTTTCACAGTGGTTGCTAAGAAAGAATCTTCTCTGTTTATAGGCTCCTAACAAATAGCGACAGCTGAAAGACAAATATGGTGTTGTGTTTGCAGGAGGAGGATGGAAGGAAGCCAGAAATTAGCAGCCTCTGAGCACGAATGCTCACAATAAGGCCTTTGAGACTGTTTGTGGCATTTTTCTTTCACAAAATGCTTGAAATAATCTAAAAAGGTGTTTGCCTCATGCTTTCAATGACAAATTTATTTCCAGAAATCAACCAGTGTTTTATAACGTGATAGGACTGTAAAGAGACATGGTCTTTTTTTTTTTTTTTCTTTGCTCTCAAAGCTTTTGCTTAACAAGAGTCAAAACAGTGCGATTTGTATCCATTTTCAAAACGAGATTCTTTGACCTTTAGGTCAGAAGCTGGAGTGTCACAAATTAATAATGGGAAGCAAAGAGCAGATTCATTCATGTTCATCTTCCTTGCCACTTTGGGAGGATTTCCTCCTTTCTAGGTGTGGTTGCCCTAGAGCAGGTGGTGGGCTGAAGTTTGGAAAAGCATTATGCAAAGAAGAGAGAAAAATTGGTGTCTTTCCGTCAAATATAATACTAAGTGGGTATCTGGATTCTTCGTTTTATCATTTCAATATACAATTATAAAAGTTTTCTGGGATGAAAGAGAAAGTTCTGAAACGATGCTTACTGAAAAGAAAGCCTAGTGGAGGTGGGATGAGCATCTTGTCTTCTTCGGTCAAGAATAACTAGCACAAGGTTAGAATTGAAATGGGTGATGGGCCAGATGACGACTGTGGATGACACATGGGGAACCAGCTCTGGAACTTTTCTAAGGGCTCTTCACATACCAGTCAACTCATTCAATACTCAAGCAACACCAGCAGGTAGGTACTGTCATTATTCTGACTTAGGATGAAGCAGGGAGTTCAAATAACTTGACCAAGGTACTCAGTAAATGGCAGAGCGGTAGTCTGTGTCCAGGAAGTTTGGTTCAGAACTAGCCAGTGTAAGCACTGCACCATGCTTCCTCTATTGGGATCCTAGGGGTTCTTAACACCTGAACTCCTGTTTTTCATTTTTATTAAAACAGTTCTAGTTCTGGGCTTAACTTCCTGACCTGAGAAGGTTTTCCTCAATGATTGAGTAGGGGAGGGCATCTTGATTGCCTCTCCTCTTTTCTTCTAAGACTTCTCTAAGAGATACTGTTTTGTGTACAGAATCTTGGAAAGTCTTTGGAAGAAACACACAGAACTTTCGTAAAAAACAAAAATCATTAAAAGATTTAATGTTGATTTTTTTTAAAACACAGTATGTAATCCAAATCCAAATTTCCCAATTCAGTATAATTACTCCAGATTTTCCTCTTTAACCCAGAAGTGCCTGGACTAGCTATTTAGTCTAAATTCTAAAGACTGTCAGAAACCACCCACAGACAAAAGGCAGCAGCCTATGGATCTACTAGTTATAAGTGTTGAAATATTTGAGTTTCTCTGCCATATGATCCAGCAATCCCACTACTAGACATATATCCAAAGGAGAAGAAATTAGTATACTGTAGAGATACCTGCACCCCAGTGTTTAATGAAGCACTCTTTGCAACAGTCAACACAGGAAAACAACCTAAATGTCCATAACAGAAGAATGGGTAAAGAAAATGTGGCAGTATGCACAATGAAATACTATTCAGCCATAAATAAGAACAAAATCATAACATCTGAAGCAACATAAATGAGTCTGGAGGATATCATACTAAGGAAAGTAAGTTGGGCACAGAAAGAGAAATACATATTCTCACTCTTTATGTGGAAACTAAAAAAGATGACCTTGTAGATGTGGAGATTAGAATAGTGGTTACTGGAGACTGAGAAGGCAAGGGAGGGAGGAGGGCTAGAGAGAGGTTGGTTATTGGAAAGAATTATAGCTAGATAAGAGGAACAATTTCTAGAGAATACTTTTAGGGATTCTTTCTATAGTCCATTACTCGTATTATATAGTAAAGTAGGGCAACTATAGTTAGCAATGCACTGTATATCTCAGCCTCACTGAAAAAGGAGATTTTGAATGTTCCCAACTCAAACTAATGACACATGTTTGAGATGATAATAGGTTAATCATCCTGACTTGATCATTACACATTGTATTACTGTGCTGAAAAAACCACATTGCATGCCACCAATATGTACAATTATTATGCCAATAAAAGAAATATTGGAGTTCCTATTGGATAGATTTTGTTTTCATTAGAGAGTTGAACTGAGACACAGCTGTGTTCATAGACAACTTGATTAAACAGAGTTTTCCACTGCTTTCAAAGTGGAATTCCTCCTCTGGTGGGCAACATCTTTTCTCTCATTTTCATCTTTGGCAAGTGATTTTGTAAATGTAATACTTTCTTATTCCTTCCTGCCCTCTTCCCTAGAAACTTCTAGTATAAACTTTCTTTTCTACCAACTCAGATGATCACACAATCTTGGCACATTTATTTAAAAACAGACTGAAGAGCAAAACACTGGGAATGAACGACGTACATTCCCACAAACAGAAGACTGACTATGTTATAAAATGTGCCTATTATTTTAAAATAGAAATTTGATTAATTAGAAATAAAAACCTTGCTGTTAGTTTTAATATTTATTGAGCACATCATTTATATGGTAAGGAACTGAGGGCAGCCTTGGGAAGTTCCACCTGGGCAAGGAGGAAGAGGTGGGTTTCATAGTACAGGAAAGATGATACATATACAATGGGCTATAATGTAAGCCAGCAAATGCTCCATTTAGTGGCAAAATTATGTCCTTAGGGAGCACAGAGGAAGCAGCAGAGGGAAGAGTAGCACATTGATGACGGATTCATGGAGGAGATAATACCTGAGGAGAATTTTGAAGGATCCGCTCACTCATCCCCAAGATATTATTGAATACTTATTTATATACTCGACACTGTGACAAATACAGGGTGTTCAGTAGTGTGGAAAAAATAAAAGGCCCAGGCCCACCCTCAGAGTGGACACAGGTGTTGAGAGGATTATGCGCTAGCAGAGTCTGCACTGGTAAGGGGAGTCCGCCAAGAACAGTGATCTTGATGGCTGGAGGCACTGTTGGGCTCAGGTGTCAGCAGCAGGGGAAGCTGTCATATGCTATAAGTCCAGTTGGGGCCAGTTGTACATGAGGGATATTGCTCCAGAGACCAGGGTTGTCAGGCCACCACTCTATAGAAGTCAGCAGAGAAGACAGCTCACCTCTCACAGTTGCCAGGGGGACTCCTCAGGTTTCCCCTATACCTAGATTAACTTGGGAAGGGAGAAGGCAGGGGAAACACAATCTGTTAGTGAGTGTACTTCAAGCCTAGTGAGTGTTTACCAGAATTAGATTGTCTTTGACAGGAAAAATATGACATAATATTGATTGCTCAATTTGAGCTAGCAAATTTTTACTGCTGCCCAGCTGATGGTAGTTTATAGGGGCAGTTTATTGGGCTACATAGTATGCGATTCATGTGCATGAACTATCTAGAGCAGGCGAATTCATAGAGACAGAAGTAGATCAGTATTTGCCAGGAGCAGGGTGGAAGGGAGAATGGCAAGGGACTACTAATGGGCATGGGGTTTCTTTCTGGGGTGATAAAAATGTTCTAAAATCGGGACCAGTGGATGGCATAATGGTTACGTCACTGGACTCCCACGTAGTTGACTGAGGTTTGAGTCCTGGACCCAGCAGCTTAAAACTCATGCTGGGTGTGTGTGTGTGTATGTGTGTGTGCCCCAAAACCAGAGATGAGACTGGAGGAGTTGGGATTGTGGTGAGAAATATTCTCCTAGGTGGGGAGGGAATTTCTCGTATTCTATTTCTCTGTCTCTCTGCTAGTGCACACGCCCTATAGCAAAAATCTCCCTTAAAAATGTTTAAAAATTAGGTCACAGTGATAGTTGTACAATTCTGTGATGGTACTAAAACCCATTCGATGGTACATTTTAAAGGGATATGATGTGTGAATCATATCTGAATAAGCATGCAAGAATTAGATTGGTTAGGGGGCAGCAGGTGGCATGGTGGTTAAGGTGCTGGACTCCTACATGGCTGATCACAGTTCGAGTCCCAGACATGGTGGCCTGAAACTCACACAAGCTTTGTGCGCATGTGTGCACAGAATCCCAAGAGGAGAATTTAGAAGACAGGATTGCTACGTGGCCATCCCCCTTGGGGGGTGATTTCTCATATTCCCCCTCACTGTCTACCTCCGGTGAGAGCATGCTCCCTGTATTTATAAATAAGTAAATAAATAAATGAATAAATAAAGTTGTCTAAAGAAAATGGACACTGTTGTTTTCTTTACCTATATGAGTAGTGGTGAGTAAAGTCCACTCTATCTGATCATTTTAATAAAACATTGATTTTCCAAATATCCTTATCTTGTACCATGTTCGAAAATAGTCTATATATCACATCATATTGTTTCTACTAAAATAATAAACTTCATGAAGAAGTGCTTAGATAACTATGCACAAATAAAGCAGTGCATGGCTATGTGAACCCAGTGTGTGGTGACATGTATAAATGCAAATACCTCCTTTTAAGAAAGTATTTTACCTTTTCATTTCTTTCATGCTTTGAAGATAGATGATAAACATTATTTTCTAAATCGGGGTGCCTTTAGAAAACATACACACTGTAGGTCTTACAACCATGAACTATACAGAGTCAGCACACGTTTTAAAATGTAAAACAGTTTAGATTTTTACTTTTAGATCTGTTTATATTGTTAAACCT